GACCCCAGGTGCTGCGGCAGAGGCTGCGGCGAGCTCTTCCGCGGGCACGCGCTGCCCCCAGTCGCACAACCACGGATGTCTGCCCCCTCCCTGCTGCCCCAGGACAAGCAGACAAGGCTGGCGGTGGGGCAGCCCGGGAGGGCCAGACTGAGCACTAGGCCTTCTGGATCTGCCCAAGCCAGTGGGAAGCACAAATGCATTAACGCCGCTTTCCCCCCCACCCCCAGCCTCCCTCTCTTTGCTTGGTGTAAATAGACTCTGATGCCAGGAATCTATTTTAAATTCCAGCCCAAAAGCTTGCTGAAGCCAGTGGGGGCCACACTGGTGTTGTCGGGCAGTAACACGCAAGTCAGAAAAACCCCACAGCCTAGATCTTGCAAGAGATCACTTGTAAATGGTGCTCCTTCCCCTGGCCCCTGTCCTCTGTTGTGAGCCCTTCTGCACCTGGGTCTCCTGTTGTATTTGGCAAGCACTCAACACCCTCTGGCAATGGATGACAACTTCTGCAACCTTGGGCTGCTCTGCTTGAATCTTCAGGGGCAGTGCATAGGATGGTGGGGCTGCTTATTTTCCCGGTTGCGGTAGGAAGCTCATCGTGGATTGCAGGTGATGGTCTGTGGGCCTCTCTGACAGCCACTCTGTTAAGGCAGCTAATCTCGGGTTTCCTCTTCATTTTCTCTTGGAAGCTGAGAACCTAGCCGGGCTCTTCCTGCTACTGGCTTCCGTGCTAGCAACCAAGATGCTGCAGTGGGAAGGGAGCTGACTGTTTTTGCTGATTGGCCTGCTCTCTCTCTACTGAGCTGACTACTGCAGAGCTCATGGCAGTGAGGCTTTGGCTGTGTGTTAGTACTATCAGCAGAGGTGACATGCAAAGTTAGAAGATGCATGAGAAGGGGTCAGTTCTAGCCTTGTGCCCTCTCTTCCCCAACTATGTCTTTAAAAATCCCAGCCATATCACGCTTAGCAGTACAGAGCTGCTTTTTGCACTGATTGTGCACCAGCATTTACAAGCACATCTGTGCCCTCCAGTATCAAACAGCTGGCCTGACTAATACTCACTGCAGGTCTTTTTCTAAATTAGATCTATCATAACCAGCTGTGGGTCAGAGCTGTGGGGAGAGAAACAGGAGGCTGGATATGAGGAAGAGCTGATTTCATAGGGTCAGTTGCTGGAGATTACTCAGGCTATCGGAGAAGCCTACCTCTGTTCAGAAAGTCCTGGGGAAGTCTTGTCTTTGGGCCTGCTGCTCTGCTCTCTTATGTGTGTGGAGGGCCATGTAGGGTGGGTAAATACCTAGTGTTTAGGTAGTTAGGCATTGGGGTTTGCTCTGACTTGCACAAGGCATTGTACTATTTGGAAGGAAGGAAGCCTGTCATGGTCTGTTGGTGTACATAGGAGCAAGGGAGCCATCTCCAGTGGTCTTCCCAGGGGCCGTGAGAAAACTTTAGGGCAGATGTCAGCAATCTTTGAGAATGGTGAGCTGCCTCTTGCAAACTGCCTGCAGCAGTGATCCCCACCCCAGCACCCTAGCCCTCCCTGCTTCTTGTTCCATTTACTCTTGCTGCTGACTTCTGCTAATTTTTATCACCAGTAGTGATGGGGAGTCACGAATTTGGCAGCAGAAGGTGGGAGCAGGGTGACAGAGGACCCCTTAGCATAGAGTAGGAATGCTGGATAATGTGGGCAGAGTCCAGCAGCACACAGCAGAAGAATTTGTGGTGCAGAAGGTGTCACCTCATCACATGCCACTGATCCCTGCCACTGTGAGCTGGATCCAATCTCTTTGTAGGTCTGAGGTCACAGACCTCTGTTCTAGGGTGTTCAGCCTCTGCCCTGTGGGCCAGCTCTGGCAGGCCCCTGGCATCCAGCCCACGGCACCCCACAGGTCCAAAAATTTGGTGGTAGGGGAGCAGTACTTCCTTGCTGTCAAATTTCTGGTCCCATGGAGAACCCTGTGGGGTGGATAACATGGCCCTGCATGCTGGATCAGGCGTGCAGGACCAGCATAGGGCCTGATCCCAGCACGCAGGGCCTGATCAACCACTGTTCTAAGGCATTGATGCATCTGAGCTGAGTATGTTACTTATGCTGTTTAGTCCTTCAGAGCCTGAGGCATGGACTTCTGCAGTGCTTGTGGCATCTGTAATGGAAAGGCAGACACTATGACCTTGCTCTGAGGGAGTCCAGGCTCCTTGGTAGAATAATCTCATTATCCAGGACTTGCACCTTGCTGAAACATTTCCAGTCACATAGTATGCCCTGGAAGCTCTGCTTTCTGCACAAAGCAACTCCCACCTCCACCACCAGCCTGTTTGGCTGATGTAACTACAGAGATGCTGGAAGCTGCTGCTTTGCTGTTGCTACCAATAGGATTTCCTTTCTAAGGTTCCCCAGTGCATACGTAGTCTAGGAGCTGCAGCGAGCTTGTTGATGCTCCCAGGGTAATAGGGGCTGGGACCCAACTAGGAAGCCCTAGAAACAGCTGAAATTTGTGCTCTGAAATCAGGATTTGAACTACTAGTAAAACCAGAGTGCAGGACCAGGGTATGTTTGGATTTACTCTTGGAGCATGTGAAAGCTGGTTACAAGGAACTGAATCTACATGTAGCTCTAGAAGAAGCCCGGGAAACAACTAGAAATCAAGAGGTTAAGTATATATGAGCACATTTCCCTTTTATAGGAGGTGATCAAAGTTGAGAGTCCAGAAGTACTGGCCAAATCTACTGTGCTGTGTTTCCAAACAAGTGCATGGACATCAGGGGGTCCCGAGAAGTTCAATGCTGAGCTGCAGTGAGGGAAGCATGGTTTAAGCACAAGGCTGTGAACCAGGACTCCTAGGTTCTGTTCTTGGCCTGATATTAGCTTCCTGTGTGGTCTGGGGCATGTTGCTTCCCCTCTCCTTGTCTGTCTTGCCTGTCCTCTAGAAGCAGTGTGCTACTGACCCCCTTCTATGGATGGGGGCATTGGGTGGGGTTGGCTAAAGGCTTGTAGGGTGCTTTGAAATTGCAGAGTGCTCAGAGCTGCAGTTTGGATTAAGGTGAACAAGTGTGAATGGAGTGTGCAAGAAAACTCTTTGTCCTGGAGCTGAGGAGAGCTGCCTCTTAGGGCATACCTCATTAATCACCTTCCTGGCCTTTGAGCCTTGCTTCTCTTGATTGCACCTAGCCCTTCCTTCCTGCAGTATGTGCAGCTTTCTCCCTGCATCAGAGAGGGGGGATTCTTCCCTTCTGGATCTGGTGCTACCAGGGGTGTGGGAGAGCACTATGCATGTCACCTTACTCTCTGCCTCCCATAGCCCTTACTAGATACCCTCTAGGGCAGCTCCTCACACTGCCTTGCTAAGGTCATTGCTCTGATTAGGCCTGTTTTCAGCTGTTCCACTGGAAGGGTTTTATCGGTGCTGAGTGTAGCTGCCCTGTCTGCTCTCTGCGAGCAGCATGGCCAAGAGAGCCCCTCCCCTTCTGCTGTGTGCGGATAACTACTGGCAGCTGGGGGGTGGGCACCCAGGCAGGCACATGGAGGTATCTGGACAGCAGCAGGAGGACTCTCTGCATTTAACATTAGGAAAGCAGCAGTGTTCATATCTCGCAGGCCAGGAAACAAGTGGAGCCTGGTATCTAGCGTGCTGTGAACTAGTGCCTGCTTGTTGGGATTCCTGGGGTTGCCACCTATCCCTGATATGTTTTCTCTTCTTGTGACTTGCCTGATTGAACAGACACCATAAACTGAAGGCCTCAAAGATGGAGAAAGCAGTCCCTATAACTGACCTATGTCCTGTTTGTTACAGGCAGGTAGCATGATGGCTGAGAACCCGTCAGTGAGCCTTGGCAGGGGCATCACACCCTTACAGCAGATGCTGGCGTCTGGGACTGGGGCCCTCCTCACATCTCTCTTTGGTAAGGATTTGACCTGTATGTAGCTGAGCAAGATGCCTGTGGGGTGGCCATGTGCAAGTTCACAGCATGGATGCATGTATGTACATGGGTAAGGTATATCTTGAGGTCAGTGTGTGTGCCTGCCTGAGAACAATGATTTTTGGTGTGTGAGTGCAAAGGGTGAGGAAGGAGTATGCCAGGGCTGGTTTGCATATGCAGGGGGCATGGAAACTCACAGTTCAGGGGTTTTAGGACAATCTCTTCAGGGGCTGCTGCTTCAGGTCAGTGACTGCCAGATTCAGCTGTCTACTGATACAGCCCTAGCCTCTCCCTACCCCCTGGTATCCCCTCCAGCCCTTGTGATCTTTTTTCCCCCAGTACAAATGAATGGCTACCAGTGAATTTGATCAGGGACTTCACTTTGGGAACAGCAGAGCAAAAAAACAGATACCATAGGGAGACATGAGAAACAGTTGGCTGCTGTTTCTAGCTCAGTGGGGAGTGTGGGGCCTTGTGGTTAGAGCAGCAGTGACTGGTGTGGGACTCCTGGGTTCTTCCCTCGGTTCTGCCATTGACTCTCTGTGAACTTGGCCAAGCAGCTTCCCTTCCCTTCTCCTTGGCTTCCCTGGCAGTATGAATCCCTTTTCTAAATTTCTCTATGGGGAGGGAGAACGGGAGACTGGGAGGGAGTCTGCGCTAAGAGGCATTTTTCTGGTTCATCTAAGAAGCACTATATCTTGCTTGGGTTGTAATATTGTGCTGCATGTCTGAGGTGCACATGACCAGCTGGCTTGTATTGTTCCAGTGACCCCCCTGGACGTGGTGAAGATCCGATTGCAGGCCCAAAGGACGCCCTTCTCCAAAGGTAACTTGCTGCCATAGGCAGCAGCTTCCCATTTCTCTGCAGCTCAAGAAGGTGGGTGGTCTCCGAGCCACGCCCCCTCCAGCATGGAGCTATGGGATGCTGTTGCACAGATGTAGGCTGTGTTTCTTCCCTGGTTTGATCAGTGACCCCAACCTCCTCAGGTCCCCAGGGCTGTAAGGAAGAGCAGAATTACTAGCAGGGACACATGTTTGGCTCCTGATGGGCCAGTCTGATTCTTTGCATCTTGGGTTATTCCTGATAGTGGTGCTAGACTGGGGCTCTGGCTTCTAAATCTGATCCAGGGCTATCTCTAGGCAGGAGACCAGTGATGTCTCAGGACCCTTGGTTCTGAGGCTGAAAGAGAATATGATGGAGATGTGGGGTCTGGAGTAGCACCAGCAGACTACATCCCCATTTTTAATACCTTCTCCTACCTGTTGTGAGCCTAGGAAAGAGGCTTCTCAGAAGGTGCAGTGCTGTCATGGTCCCCCCCATGCCAGGTCAGTGCAGCTGGCTGGCTGGTATCAGTAACACAACTGTCAGCACCCTATGTATGAAGCTAGAGTGCATCCTCTTGCATGGGATGGTCATCTCTCCCCTTTGGACCTGGAGGGGAAAAAGGTTTGAAGGGCTTCAGTGCCAGTGAACTCGAGTTGTGTGTGTAGCTCTGGGGAAGTGGGTTAGGGTGTCGTGTGCTAGTGTGTAGTGGGCACAAAGCTTGATGATTGGGATTAAGACAGTCTCTCCAGTGGCTGCTGCTTCAGCCCAGTGGTTGCCAGACCCCAGCTCTCTGCTGATACAGCCCTGGCCTGTCCCTGCCCTATGAAATCATACCCTAGCCCTCAAGGTCTTGTTCCACAATACAAATAGCTGCCAACACATTTGGCCCAGACTGCTCTCCCTTTGGTGACCTGTCACTAAGTATGTCCCTGTTGTGTGTTTCAGTGTTGTCAGCAGAGGAGGGAGGGTTACTGTGGCAGGAAGGGAGCCTCCTGGGACAGAAGAAGGGCTTTGAAATCTCCCTTCAGTGACTGCATGTGCTCTGCAGGCTCCTCAGTGGTGGCACCAAGCTGGGCTCATCTAGGCTCTTCCCTCCCTTCAAGGGCTCGTTCTCCCAGGCAGGAGGGAGCACATCCTTTGCTTTAGCTTGTGTTGGTCTCTGCTGTGCATGGCTGCTCTGTGCTAGTCACTACCCACCTCTGAGCCAACTCTAACCTCTCCAGGAGCATTTGTGAGCTCACAGAACATTTAGAGGATGTGTGTTGAAGGGGGAATGCAGGGAGCCCTTCTCTCAGCCTCTGGCCTCGAAGCTCCTTGCCCCATTTTAAATAGGAAGCCATACTTGGCCTATACCTACATGGACTATGCCCTGGTACTAACCTGATTAGCAAAATCCCTCCTGTAATAATCAGATCAGGGACTGAGAAATGAGACTCCTGGGTTCTGTTTGCATCTCAGCCACTGGCTCTCCATGTGACTCACGGGTGAGTTGTTTCTTCTCCTTGTGCTCAGTTTCCCCATCTATAAAAATAGAGGTTGGCTGTCTCTGTTTAACTTTGGGAAGTTCAGGTGGAGGAGGCTAAACGGGTAGCAGGTAACCCGTACAGGAATGGGATACTTTAGCTCTTGGAACCTGTCTGGAGCTGGAGTTGGGTAACTTGTCAACCAAAGCTATGCTGCAGACTGCAGACTGAATGCTTGCAACTGCTTGGCTCAGAGCCTGTGGAATAGGCTCTGCCCTTTGCAGAGAGAACTTCTCCCTGCCACAGGAGACGGGGCCCCACCAGCAATGTTCCTGGCTCTCAGTGCCAGCTTTGTTCTGTAATGTCTGTCTTGTACCTGTCCAAATGTCTTGTCTTAGGGTGATACCTCACTCTACTGACAGTAGGGCATGGGGATGCCCGTGTTCCCCTTGTTCCCAGGCCAGGCACCCAGGGACTGGGTGCTATCACTCAGAAGGGGTTCACCACGGCACACCTAGGCCTGTTTCTAAATGTGTCCCTGTTGTGTGTTTCAGTGTTGTCAGTAGAGTCTGGGCCATGGAGTATTCACCAGTCCAAATGTGAGTATCTCTGGGTATTCCCCTTTTGCCCTCTTACTGCAGTGTTGTGGGGCTGCTCTTGTGGGCAGGCTCTCCCCTTAGAGCTGGAAGCCATCTGCCACAGCTGCTGTCTCCAGAGCATGGCAGTGGTGGGGGTGGAAACTGATCCCTTTGGGACTGGGATCCCAGGTCCCAATCGATAGTGGAGGGCCAGGGGTGGTCTAGTGTTTGAAGCAGGGGACTGGGAGCCACAGGCCTGGCTTCTATTCCCAGTTCTGCCACTGACTCACTGTGTGGCCTTGGGTCAGTTTCTTTACCTCTGCCTCTTTCTGACCTGCCTCATGGGCAAGGGCGAGTCAGTGGAGGAATGGTTCTCACTGTCTGGAGTTCTCCTGTCTGGTCATGGGTGTGTTGGGTTCTTAAAGTTTTACCTGCCCAATGGTTTCTTTCACTCTATCACCACCCCCTCCTAGCATAGCTACAGTGAGCGGGGACTCTGGCAATAGGAGTAGGCATATCTGCCATCAGCTTGCTTGAAAAGAGCTTCCCCTGCCCAGTAACTCTGGAGAGCAGGCCCTTGCCTGCCTCTCCCCAAACATCCCTAGGTGCAGGGGGGGGGGGGGGCAGGTGGGGCAGGGAGTGTAAAGTAGTGTAGGGCAGGAGCAGCAGTTCCCTACTATAGAGTTACCAGGATCTTTGATCTCCAGCCCTCGGTGGCCTGCTTGTCCCTCAGCCCTCTGCAGGGGTTAAATCGTAGCCAGTTCCACAGCAGGAGCATGTGTGGGCACCTCTGTCTTTGTCCTCTGTGTCTCTTCTGGTTGCCTGAAAGGCTGCTTGGACCCCAGCCAAGCCTGTCCCATTGCCTGAAGCTCCTTTCCCTGTGTGGGGAGGGCAGGGCTGACCTCTGGGATTGGGTGGTGCCATCTTGGCAATGGGAAGGAGTGTGCTTAGCTAGGGGTTTGCCTGCTTGCCTGCCTGGCAGCTTCCCAGTATGCGGCTCCCACGCCCCACTACAGCCTTCCTGTCTGCTGGACTGGCATGATTTCTCTGCACACATGCACATGCATGGAGCTGCTAGACTTGCTGCAAGGTCTGTTCCGGGGTCTGTAGACCAGAGGGCTGCTGTATTTGTGTGTCTGAGTCTCCAAAAGCCACCAGGCTAGGTAGGGAATTTAGAAGGGGTTCATGGCCTTTCAGGTCTGGAATTGTGGGCTCTAGGTTTTGTGTGGGGGCAGGGGGAGGGGAGCTGGGTGAGCCTTACCCTGAGTTTCCCTTAGGCGCCAGGGCTGATGTTGACTTGTATAGGCAGGTGGCCTCCTGCCAGCTCCAGCAGTTAGTGCAGGCTGATGGAACAGGAAATGCTTCAGGGCAAGCATGCTGTAGAAATGTTGAGGAGTGTGGTGGGGTTGGGCAGTTTCTCAGAGGTCACCATTCCTGTCTCACTGCGTTGCTCCTACAGTGCCTTTACACCCCGTACCACAATGGGGCAAGTCCCAGCCCAACTTCTCATAAGCTCAGTCCAGGCCTGAACTCACTCTGCCCTGCACCAGCCTGAGTCCCAGTTACTGTGAGGAGTAGCAGCCCTTCTGCTGAGGGTCCTGCAGAAGGAGAGGGAAGAATCTGCAGGGAGGGGCCACGTGATGGCGAAGGGCAGTTGGGTGTGTGTGGTATTGGTAAGTTGACCTGTCTCCATCTTACTACAATTGCCATTTCTCTCTCCTTGCCCCCTTATTCATCCCACAGGGAAATGCTTCCTTTACTGCAATGGGCTCATGGACCATCTCTACGTGTGCCAGAATGGTAACAGCTGTATGGCCTGGTACAAGGCCCCCACCCACTTCACTGGCACCCTGGTACGCCTCTTCTTAGCACTCTCAGGCTGGTGCTGTGGCCCACTTGGGACTGGTTTGACAGCCCAACCATGTGCTGCCATTTGGGTGCCTTGGGGTGGGATATGGTGGCTGCTTGGCAGGGTAGGGGTGTTTGGATGTGGTGGGGCAAAGGGCTCTCCTGTCCCTGCAGACATACCCACTCTGCAGAAGCTGAGAACTCCCTGAGGAGGAGAGCGTTAATTACAGAATTGGGGCCTGAGACTTGGACATCTCATAGGATTTGGGGTTTTGCAGGGGCTCCATTTAGAGTGGCCTTTGGGGTCTGACCACAGCTATTGAGGATGCCTTAGCTCAGAGAAGCTGTTCTATCTTTGATATCTCCTTTTCCCAGAAAGAGCAGAGCTTGGGTGCAATTCAGCCCCAGCCTGGACTCTGGATTAGGTGTCCTTTGGGCTGTGGGGCTCCCCTAGTACTGGAAAAGCCCCCTCTCCCTACCCCAAACCTTCACACTCTTCTCTTTGTTTCAGGATGCCTTTGTGAAGATCACACGCTACGAGGGCATCAGGTCTTTATGGAGTGGCCTGCCTCCCACGCTGTGAGTCTGGGCACCTGCATAAGCGATGGGTCTACCATCATTGCCCACCCCAACCTTTGAGTTCCCCGAGCGTGGGAGAATGCAGCCTCCTGGGGGGCACTAATGCCAGAGCTTGCATTCCTGGCCTTGGCTCCCAGGGTGCGAGCACTAGTCTGAAAGGCCAGGAGCCACCACATGTAGCCACTGACTGCTGTGGCGTGCAGAAGATGGTCTTCCAGCACCAAACTGTCCAAGCTCCTTAGAGTCAGAGGCTGTTTCCTCTCCTTTTGCTTTCTATTCCCTTCTCTGTCTGGTCTGACTCTCAGGTTTTGCAAGCTGTGTCAGAAAGTCTATAGCCTTTACACACACAGGGTGCTCCTTAAAGGTTAGAGGGTCTTTCTCCTCTGCTCAGGGCCAGACCAGTTGGCACATTTGGGGTCAGAAAATAATTTTACCCCATGGTCAGATGCTTGAGGGGTTTTGTTTTCCTCTGTAGTGGTGGGATTGGCTCTCTTCCTTACATATCGTCAGTGTTTTTGACAGCCCTTGCAGTGGTGGGATGCTGACAATCCTTCTGCCCTGCTTTACCTGTAGCAGTTTAGGGTGTTCTTGGTTTCTTTGGGCCATGTACCTTATAATTGTGCGACAGGATTGCTTATGTAATTTTAGGAATAGGTTAGACAAGCATTTGTATGAGATTAGTTTGGATAGGGATGATCCTGCCTCAGGCAGAGGGTTGGAGTAGATGACCTTCTGAGGGCCCTTCCAGGCTGACTTTTCGATGAGAAAGGGAAAGGGGTAGTGTCAGGGTGCAACTGGGTTGTTTGAGGGGGAAGGTAACTGTGCCAGAAGCCTTCTGATTTCCTGCTGTGGGCATGGAGGGCAACACAAGCCAGACATGATGCTAGCAGCACCCTCTCCTTGGCAGGGTGATGGCAGTACCTGCCACTGTGATCTACTTCACCACCTATGACCAGCTGCGGGATTACCTGCACTCCCGGATGGGCAACCAGGGGCACCACATTCCTCTGGTGGCTGGTGCTCTTTCCAGGCGTGAGTATTGCTCTCTTCCTTTGCTGTCAGCTCCAGGGGTCCCAGTGCCTGGGTGCTCCCTCCAGTAGAAAATCCCTGCTCCAGTAGAATCTCCACTTCCTCCTTACAGGGCCCTGTGGGGTGGGCTACAGTGTTCTAAGACTTCTCAGATTCAGTTCCCAACTCTTGCACTGATTCCCCGTGTGACCTTGAGGGCACATTGCTGCATGCAGAGCTGCTGCTAGACCTGTTCTCCTTGTGCCGGTTCTATAGTTCCTTTTCATCTCTGCAGAATGGCAGGTACCTTCCTGCTGTCTGTGTTCAGGGGTGGCCCATGCACCCTACTCCACAGTGTTATGGCACCATTGGCTTGTCTACAACTGTGCTGGTCTCACCCCTCTCCTTCCCTCGCTCAGTGGGCGCTGTGACAGTGATCAGCCCCTTGGAGCTGATCCGGACCAAGATGCAGTCCCGACAGCTGAGTTACCGTGAGCTGTGCATCTGTATCCAGTCAGCAGTTGCCCAGGATGGCTGGCTGTCCCTCTGGAGAGGCTGGGGGCCTACAGTCTTGCGGGATGTTCCTTTCTCAGGTATAGCTGCACTGACAAGGGGGTGTGGGACGTGGGTGCTCCAGGAGCCTCTGCAATTGGTATCACGGGGAAGGGGAGGTTTAATCCATGGACTCCAGTGTCATGGGGCACTGCAATAGGGAAGCAATCTCCTCTATAGTTAGGGATGGTCCTGCTTTGAGTAGGGGTTTGGACTAGGTGACATCTCAAGTCCCTTCCAACCCTACTTTTCTGATTCTATTCCAAGAGGAAGGGCAGTCTAGTTGTGAGTGCTCAGCTGGGCTTTGGGAGGCTCAGGTTTCAAGTCCCTGTCCTGCCACAGCCTCCCTGTGTGATCTTGAGCATATTATTTGGGTGCTGTGTACCTCAATTCCTTGCCTGTGCAATGGGGATAAATCTGCCCAGGGGCTGTGAGGATAAATTCACTAAAGGCCATGAAGATATGGCAGTGATTTGGGAGTCCTACCTCACATCAGTAAGAATGATGCCTTGTGATGTGGGCATCAGTGCTGAACCAGGGCTTATTTGCCTGGTGAAGGTGCCAAGCATGGGGTGGGCACTGGCAGGGGAAGGACTTTTTGGAGGCAGTACAATAGGCTGTGCATATATCCCCTGGAAAGGACAGGTTATGCCCTTGGTAAGTTGACATCACCCAGGTACAGGAACTTATCCAGGCTGGGTACTAGTTGTGGCTAGGATGCTCCTGCCAGGCACTAGGACTGTTGAGCATTGTCACCCTGCAGAGGGCAGGTCTCATATATTTGTGATTGCTGACTCAGGGCATCAAGCAGCCAGACATTTTAGACCAGGGTGAAAGTGGCAGGTTTTCCCCAGGACAGGAATTTCCCTCCTGCTGTCTGCAGAGAATACAGTGTGCCACGCTGGCACTGTTAGATCATGCTGTAGTGGGCTGCTATTCTTCCCTCTGCATCTTTTACCTGCTTTGTCCAGGGAGAAGTTGATAGCAAACAGTGGTGTGAATTTTCAGAGCCAGTCCAGTGGCCCAGTCCTCTCGCTTGCTTCCTGTTACAAGCTGGCTGCATTTCAGCTCGGTTCCAGCTCTGTTTGTGCCAGGGAAGGCAGTCGTCTCCCATTGGTAATAGTTGAGCTGCTGACTGCTGGTGTCAGCAGAAGCCCAGGATTCCTCAGGCCATGGGACTGGAACTCCCCTCCCTTCTCTAGGTTTGCTTCCAATAAGGGCGGTGGGGGGGAATGGCTCCTACTGTATTTGATCAGGGACTGACAAGTTAAGTCTCCTGTCCATAGAGCCAAGCCTCAGGACCTTCTAACTTTGGCACTGCTCTCTCTCTCAGCTCTCTACTGGTTTAACTATGAGCTGGTGAAGGAATGGCTCTGCAACTGGTCCCGACTTGACAAAGCCACTTTCATGATCAGCTTCACCTCTGGGGCTGTTTCTGGGACTGTGAGTATGGAATCTGTAGATCCATCCAGTGGTGCCTGCCTTTGAAGGAACCCTAGGCCCCAGCACAGAGCGGGGGGTGTTTAAAACAAGGAAAGAATCAAACAGGTGTTGTGTGTTTGGGGTGAGACGTTTCCATCCTGGAAGGATTGGAACAGTGGCAGAAGCAGGTAGTTGCTGATTTATTTATTTTTTGTCTGGATTCAAGCAAGCTGGGGCTGTATGGACCAATGTCCATTGGGTGCCTTCGTCTCCTTCCTGTGCAAGACTCAGTGAAGATCATCCCTGCTTCAAAGAGCAGGGTCTGAGTGAGGCCCAAAGGAAGGGGTTAATTGGATATTATATATCCTAAGAGAGGCGGGGGACAAGGCAAGGAGCCTCTGGGGGGGGATGAGAAGAGCAGGGCTGAGGGACTGGGAGCTGGAGTTCCCAGTCATATGATGAAGGTCAGGTCATGTCTCTGGGGAGTGGCAGACAGGGTAGGCCCCAGGTTCCCCAGCTGTGGCTTGGTTATGATAGGCAGCTTGTCCCCTTCTGGCAGGTGGCTGCAGTGCTGACGCTGCCCTTTGATGTGGTGAAGACCCAGCGGCAGATTGAGCTGGGAGATGCAGAGAAGCTCAGAGGTGAGAGGGGTGCTGAGGACACCAGCCTTGGGACATCCTAGTGGTCTCCACATGCTGAAGGATTCAGTTCCAAGCAGTGGGGAGCCCATCTGCATTGTCCTGTCCTGGGAGGAAGGCTTCTTCCTCAGTGTTCACACTGCCTGGGGTAGAGTGTCACTTTTGTGGCTGAGCATGCCCTGGCTAGAGTGAGTGCTACCCTCCCCTTGCCCTTGTAACTCTGTTCTGCCTTGGCTCCACAGTGACTGCCTCCAAGTCCTCCTCCACCTTTCTGCTTATGAGGAGGATTCAAGCTGAGTCTGGTATCCGTGGGCTTTTTGCAGGTAAGAGCTTGTGCCCTCAGAAGGTGGGCAAGGTGGGGAGGCAGTGAGGACTGCAGGGAGATCTGGAACTACCTGGGATCTCTTGAGCTTATATTAACAACCTGTTACAGAAGCAGGACACTGGTTGCCATGGTCACCTTGCTTTACCTGTGGCAGGTTAGGGTGTTAGGCCTGTGTTGTGTCAGAGTTGATGGTAGTCTTATGTAGAGTTTAGATTGTGGCTTGTATAGGATAGTTTGGATAGGGATGATCCTGCTTTGGGCCGGGGGTTGGACCAGATGACCTCTGGAGGCCCCTTCCAGCCCTGCTTCTCTATGATTCTTTGAGATGACAAGCATGCTCTGAGGGGGGGTGGCATTCAAAGAGTGCTGGCGGGGGGATGTAAGCTGATCATGGTCCTACAGCTAGAACAGGAAGAGATTAATACGACTCTTCCTGCCTCCTTCAGGCTTCCTGCCCCGCGTCGTCAAAGTGGCTCCTGCCTGCGCCATAATGATCAGCACGTATGAGTTTGGCAAGACCTTCTTCCAGAAGCTGAACCAGGAGCAGCAGCTCAGCAGCCTGTGAGCACCCAGGCTGAGGCAGCACCTGGGCACAGCCCCCATGGCACAACCTCTCAACAGCCTGCTCTGTGCTGTGGGGGCAGGCACAGCGGCCTGTGCCTCTCTGAGGCAGGAGGGGGTGTACCTTGAGAGCCAGCAGGTGGGAAGGCACAGCATAGATGGGGCTGCTGGCTCCTGGGCCTTTCATTTCCTCTTGGTTGTTGCTAGGGGTAGTTCTCTCTCACTGCATAGTGCCTGGTGTGACCTCCCTCCTAGCCAGGACTCCCCATCCCAGGCACTCTGCACTGGGATATGTCAAGTCCAAGTGCCTTTTGGCCTCATTCTGCCCTCATGCTTTGCTTGAGAGGTTTTCCTCTTTGCCTCCCTTGGGGGTGGGCTGGAGGCCATGTGCTAGCAGTATAGGGCACTTGATGCTTTCCAGGCCTAGAGCCGGTAAGATTGCCGTTTACCTCTGGCATATACCTTTCTGCCCTGCCTGTCCCCTCCCCTTGCCCTCACCTCCTCCTGGTTGGCCTGCATGCTGGTTAGGCCACTTGAAGCTGCCTTCATTTGCTGTGATAGCACAAGGCCATCCTGCTCCAGCCAGCTCCACTTGCTGTGCCCCCTGGATGGGGCAGGACAAAGCTGCTCTGGGAGAAGTGGACTCATCAGCTGCTGAAAGCTGCCTCCCTGCCCAGCTGGGGGTGGCCTGACCACACATGTTTTGGGCAGGGGCTCCTTCCTGGCAGGGCATGGACTGCTGCCAGGGTTGCCTGCTTTGCCATGGACCAAGGGCCTTTTGTGTACAAAGACTTTAAAGCAACCAGGGCATAGCACCCAGGAGGTGGCTATGCCTGTGACTCATGGGATCTGTATCAAACACTGGGTTTGGCTCTCACCTTGGGGTGAAACCCATTTCATGTCCTGTACGCACAGCCCCTTTCCCTATCTTCACTCTACACTTGCTTCTGTTGCTGCCCCATCCTTCCAGGATGGAAACATCACATTACATGTGACAGCCCTCTCCTGGGCTCTAGGCCAGTCTCCTCTGCACGTAGCACAACAGCTTCTTCCACTCAGGACTTCCTCAACCCTGTCTGCCCCACTGCTGTATAGGGGACTGCTGTAATGGATACTACAGGTGTGGTACGCCTAAGAATAATAGACCTCAGCCCACCCTGGAACAGCTCTAGGGCCAGTAGCTGGACTAGTAGCCGCTTTCCTTCCCACTGCTCACGCCTGGCGTGCAGGGGCACTTGGAGGGTGGGGGAGTTTGCTCTTATTTTCTTAAATAAATTTTTATTTGGGATTTAGAACAGTTGATCCCTTCTCCCACATACACACTTCGCTCCTTGGGGTGTTCTCAGTGTGACAAGTTCTGCTGGGCTTGGGCACCTAAAGGGCTCCAAGGTCTGACTCAGCAACTGCTATTGACCAATATCAAGGGGTCGAACTGATCCCATGTAGTCAGCAGCTGCTTTCCCTGCTCTGCTGCTATGTGTAGCCTGGGTGTGTACAGGCTTGCTAGTGCAGGACTGTGACTAATTGGTTAATCCACTACTGCTGACCTTGATTCTATGGGTGCAGGGTGCCATTCCCAATAGGGGTCCTGGCCTTTGTCCATGTCTTATGCAGAGGGCTTCAGGCTTGTTCCTCTTTCACTATACCTCAGAGAACCTCTCTGCAAAGCCTGTAGGGTGGGATGTGGGAATAGTTCTTCACTTTCACCAGGGCACCCAGAAAAGTGTAGTGTAAGAAAATCCAGAAGTGTGTTTGTTGGGGGAAAGGGGAGGGGGATGCAGAGTGTCAGTTATCATTTTTGTGTCTGAGCTGGTTAAGGGTGACCAGCTTGGCACCTAGAACACTCCCTCCCTACTGGCCCTTCCTCCTGGCTCAGCATCTGTCCTGCTGAGTTGTGTACCAGCTAGGGGAGGAGCCCCTCATTTGCTCTTTGGTGCCTCTCTCTACACTGGCAGACAAGGTTCTTTGGGTAAATCTGGCATCTTTTATTAGACCAACTAAAATAGCTGGAAAAATTCTTCTTTACAAGGTTACAAACACCACTCTCTCTACACGGAGTGTTCTCAGCCCCCATGGAAGCGAATGGTGCTTGCTGCCTGATTGTTGGGAGGGGAAGGGATTCTGCTTTGTCCTGCTGAGGGTGGGGCTTGTCCTCTACTAATTTAAGTCCCTCCCTTTCCCCAGTGCTGTCTGTGTGGGTACCTGCTTCCCCCAGCTTGGCCAGATTAGAGAGTACCAGCAAAGCCATGTCATGCCCAGGCTGCTGGTGGAGTTGGACCCTGGGAAGATGATCCTGAGAGCAGGGGCCAGCAGCCCATTGCTCTTGTTCTCTGATGATGAGCTCCAGCTAGTAAGTGGACTGGTTTTCTCTTGCCCCAGGTGTCTTGTGTTTTCCTACTGCCATAGGAATGCTTCATTGATGCTGGGGCAGTCATCAATCACTTGGCTTCAGAGCGTGGCTGCCTGGCAGTGTGAGCAGCCCTAGAGTCTCATGGGTCATTTTTTGGCCCCTGCTTCACCCCATTTGACTTCCAGGATCGCCATGGAGGAACCTCGGATACTGCACCAACCTTGAGATTTTAGATGTACTGTACCATCATTTCCCTCCATAGGGGCAGGAGAGCTAGGGTACCTGTAGGACAGCTTCCTCCTAAGAGAGCCTTGTCAGCATCACAGTGTACATGTTGGGGTGCCTGGACCCTACAGCAGAGGCCAGCCTGTAGCCCAGAAGTCACATGAGGCTTGAAAGAGCCCACTGACAATCTGGCCTGAAATACACATCCCCTGGGCATCAGACAGCATGTGAATGCTGTGTGTTAGTGCATGCCACAGCTGTTACTGTATCTTGGTTTGAAGTTTAAAGGTGACACCTGCCCCAGAAGAGGTGGAGCCTTGGAGCTTGGGATGACCTAGAAGAGAATCCAAGTGGTTCCCAGCACTGCAATGGTACCATGGGGCTACGGTTCCTTGCCTTTGAGAGCTTGTGAGAATGATGCATGGGCCTGCAAAAGCATGCCTGTTGTTTCAGCTGGGGCTGGGGCCAAGCTAAGAAAGGCGACCAGGCATCACCAAAGCATGGGGTATTCTACAGGCCTGGTCTCAGCAAGGCCTGGCTAAGGTCTTACCATGAGAACTTGACCAGATGTGACCACACAGTACTTTGAGAAGCAAGTGTGGAGACCATCCAGCACTAGGCAGGGTGGGCCATGAAGGGCCTGAACTGCAGGCCGCAGCAATCCACATCCTTCCATATTGCCTGAGTGTATGGCTGATTTCAAATGAGACCACCCCCTCCTCCCAGAGCTTGACTTCCCTGGGGCATGCAAACCCAACTGGCTTGTGGGCAGTGTTCGTGTGGGGAGTCCAGCCCTGGGGCAATTAGCCGGGCTCCTGAAAGCAGCAGCAGCACAGGCCCATCTTGGGATAGGACTGGGAGTAGGAGTAGGGGAGTCAAGGTTCCTCATTGCCCCAATGAGCTCTTGGTACATGAAGGTGCAAGAGCCCAGACCTGATTACAGGCTAGGAAGTGTGGGGGACCCCCCCCCCCAATACAGTGCCACTCCTGATCCCTTAGCCATTGACATCTGTGACTTTTATGTTTTTAGTTTTGAAAACCCCATGATCCCCTGGTTCTGGGGTTGCCTATGGGAGCCCTGGTTAGCTCTGCCATGAGGAGGCTCACAGGCTTAGGGCTTGCAACCCTGCCATGGCTGCCATTGTGGCTAACAGCAGGGGCTGAAACGTGTGCACTGCCGCAGCTGGAGCTATGGCCTCGGTCTGCGAGAGCTGGGGCTCCTCAGCGGGGCTTTTGCAACACTCAGCGGTGGGTGACATCCAGCTCCTCCCCACACGGCATCACACCAGCTCATGTCTCTGCATTTATTGTTTCCATGACAGGGCTTCCCCAGCAGCTGGGGCTAAAAAAAGAAAAATATGGCAGGGGATGTTGGGTGTGGGGGGCATTGTCCCCATCAGCGCTTGCACGGCATGGCTGTGTGGGGGGATTGAGCAGCGAAGGACAGGGGGAAGCAGCAGGCTCCTGCGGCCTGGAAGGGGGAGCAGCTGGGACCCTGTCACCCAGCAGGGCGGTGCTGCCAGCCAGGCACTAGAGGGCGAGCAAAACCCAAGCAGGAAGGAACAGACTCCCTGGCTCATGAGGCTGGTGGTCAGAGGCAGCAAGAGATGAAGACCATGATGGGGGCTGTGGGGGAGCAAGTGGGAGTCTCTGACAGCTCCCCCAGCCCAGGCTGCACATCCCAGCCCTAATATGCGTGTGGCGGAGGCCATGCAATGTCCTGGCAGGAGGGGTCAGCAGCAGCAACAAACAAGTTCCTGGGGTGGGGGCATTATAACAGAGGGAGCCTGTGACTCCAGCAGCCAGTATCCTACCCCCACCCCTCCCGCCCAGCAGAGTGAGCGCCTGCCGTGAGGGTCAAATCCCTAAGGGGGGAGGAGACAAATTATCTTTTGACCCCCACCCCCTTCAGTCAGATGCAGGACCCTGCGCCCCTTCCCATGCTTGGATAGCTGTGCAACACAGCACTTAAACAGCTGCCTCGTTCCACCCCAGAGGTGGCTGCCTTCCAGCAGTCTGGTGAAGCCATTGCAGTATATACAGCACGTTTGCAAAGCGCTCGGGCATCCGTCCGACTGTACGAGCGGATGAGGTTCTGCCCTGGGCGACACGTCCCTCATGAGGAATGGGCCTGTGTCTGTGAAAATGCAGTGGTTCAGCTGGGGGCGGCCCCCACAGGGGCAGTAAGGTCCTGGTGGCTGTGGCGTCAGTCCCCTCAGCATGAGATGGCAGGGTTTCCTCAGCTTGCCTCCTTCCAGCAGCCTCCACTCCCTGGCGCCGCACGGCCTCTCAGCTGGGGCTGTGGGTAGGGCTGGCTTCATTGCTGTCGCTCACCAGGCATTCATTGGATTTCAGGCTGGCCAAGGACTTGCAGCTCGGGAGGGAGGCCAGGGAGCCGCAGAGCCCCAGCATGGACGGCGTGGGGTCCTTCCCTGGAGGGCGAAGGGGAAGCAACAGAGTGCAAGTCAGAGCAGGGACCCCTCAACTCGAGGCAGCTGCTGGCGACCCCCCAGACCAGGAGGCTGGACAAAGTGAGCCACCCACAGTTGTCAGTGGGGGAGCTGGGAACCCAGGAGTCCTGACAGCTAGTCCTTAGCTCTGATCATTAGACCTCACTCCCACCAAGAGGTAGGAGCAGACCCCAGGAGTCCTGTTTCCCATCCTCCAGTCTAACCGCTAGACTGCATTGTAACGCCCTCCGGCCAGAAAGCATGCAGCGTTACAGCAACACCCTGGCCCATCATTTTAGGGTGCGGGTGGGTGGTTAGAGCAGGCGACGGGGAGCCAGATGTCCCAGGTTCTAAGCCTGGGTTTGCCCCTGAGATTTTCCAAGCCCTTCTCAGGCTCCCCCCTCCCCTGCTGACAGGTGCTGCAACCAGGGCGGGCCCACAATTTTGGGGGGCCCCCTGATGCAAAGAAGCCAGTGGCAGCGGCAGGGATGTGATGGGTGACAAGCAGCCAAAGGGGACCCCTTGGCTGCGGGGCCCCCCATGGCCACAGGTTCTGCAGCATAGGGTGGGCCGGCCCTGGCTGCAACCTCAGTCCCACTCACGTGTCTCACAGGCAATCACTGCCTTCCAGCCCAGTGTCCCCAGGGTCTCACCCAGTGGCCCCCAGGGCTCTCCTTCACGTTTGCCCTCCCCCAGCCTCTGGGAGTCGGAGCTCAGGCTGATCTCTGCTGACAGCTGGTCTGTGCTCATGAAGCTGTGCCTGTGGGAGACAACACCCCGTTAATCATGGCACAGCAAGGACCAACCCCTTGTGATGTTTAGATCTGTGGGTTGATGTTCAGACCCCATGTACTTGGGCTGCTACTGGCAAATACCCACAGTCAGTGGTAATTCCCTCAGGCTCCTCTGTGCTGAGAGAATTGCTTGGGGAGTTTCAGTTCACTAGCAGAGGGGCCCCAGCACAACCAGGTGTTGCACAGCTGCAGGGATCAATGGTGCAACCCACACGTGGGCACCAATCCAAGCAGCACTTAAGTACATGTGTAAAGTTAAACCTGTGTCATCCCACAGACTGCAAAGGGAGCTGCTTGCAGGTTTAACTTCACCTCAGTGTAGATGGGCCATACCCAGAGACTCTGTTACTGAGGAGGCATGGAACCACTTTTTTTTTTTTGATTCTATATCTTGGGCCAGATCAGCCAAATCAATTCCAAATTCTAGCAATCCCTCAATTGTTAAAGTCTGAGATGCTACCTCTGACAAGTATCCTCCCTCCCATACTCTTCAGCTTGGGGCTTCAGATACTCCCAAATCCATGGCAGGCATCCTATGTGCAAGCCCCAAGCCCAGAGGCCTTGGAGTTTGGATGCCCCACAAGTCTCACTTGTCCCTAGCCAAAAGGCTGTAGGAGTAAGCTCGAGGGAAAGCTCAAGAGCAATTCCCCATCACCATAAATTGTGTAGCTGAGATCCTCCAACTGGGAGGCTTTAGCAGACTCTCACAGGGGGGGGCCTGCCTGCAGTGCAAGGGACAGATCTCTACTCTCAACTTCACCAAGTCATTCAAGGCTGAGAAGAAGAGGGTCTCCCTTACCAGTTCAGTAAAACCACCTGGGCTGAAACCATCATCGTGGTATCTTCCACACCAGATAAGAACCACTTATAGCTGGAGGGTAAGGTTGTTACAGCAATTTGTGATCACCCAGCCCTTCCCTCCTCTTGCCCTACAGCAAACAGCTGGCCAGAGATGGTGAGGGGCAGGGAAACAAGTGGGGGTGGGGGTGACAGTGGGGGTGATGACCCCTTCAGTCTCAGAGGAAAGGTGTACTGGGAGCTGGGTACCTTCTACAATATCTGTATCAACCCATCTACCCAGCTGCTTATCTGCCTGCCTACCTACCTATCTAGTGCACCATGTAAGCCCAAACACCCATCTACCCATCACACACCTTTTTAAAAGGGTAGTTAATGGCTGGAATGCCTTAGCAGAGGTGCAGTGAATTCCCATCACCTGAAGTCCCTAAATGGAGACTGGCTAACTCTAACTCTACCCCCAACTGCAGGCTTCATGCAGCAATGACTGGGAAATCTCTGCCCCTGGTAGGCAGGAGGTAAGTCTGAATGCTGGGAATGGTCCCTTCTGGCCTAGCAACCCAGGACTCTATCATGTTCAGAAGGCACCTGTCCCCTGGGTGTTCAGCCATGGAGGGCTCCCTCAAGGGGAGGGACCCTGGAGCAAGCCAACCTGCCCCTCACCTGGGAAGCTGATTCTTTCCTGTGCTGGCAGGACCTAGAGCTGCTGTCTCTGGGCCCTATACCCAACCTGCTCCCCCCCGCCCCTACCCAGGAGGTTTCACACTGTTGTCAGGACCATGCGGGGCAGGTAAATCTAAATCAGCCTGAACAGATGCTTGCCCTGAGACCTGGAGGGCTCCAGAGACCATGTGTTCCCTTTTCTTGTGCATCTCCCATCTCTTAGCTCCTCACAGCCAGATCTCCCATGGCCTGCTATCTGGATACTCCTGCACACAAGACTCCTGCTTCACCTTCCAGCTTGGGAGGGCCAGGGCAGCTGCCTGGTGGGAGTCCAGGGGCTTTGTAGGAGGCTCCAGGCTATGTCTGCCTTCAGGCCTCTGCCTCCCTGGGCACCACATCCTGCTGATCTAAAGGGCTCCCTGCCCTGGCTCAGACTCTGGGTGGATCCAGGCCTCCTCCCCAAGGATTTACCTTCTGTACAGCTTGGTGTCTGACCCACAGTCATTTCCATTGAGGGTTCCCAACGAGGGCCACTGGTTCACCAAGGGCGTGATCATCTCCTTGGAGAGCTGGACCAGTTGTGCATTCTCGCAGGGGATCAGGCCCGTCCTGGAGGCAGGGCAGAAAAAGGGAAGGCTGGTGAGGGAGGGATTCATGCAGCCAGGCAGTGCAGGACATGGGCAGGAGGGTCCTCCCACCTTCTTCCCCCCCAGCAGGACCCAGTCACAGTATGGGGAGGAAGTAACTCATCAGGAACCACAGGCAGCCCCCTAGGGTGGGGCACAGGGGCTCTGGGACTGTGAGGGGATCATAACTGCTCTGCTTTGGACAGGACAGGTTGAAGGAGAGGGATACAAAGAGCCTGTGGTGGGATGAGGTAGAGGGCATAGGAAGGTGCAACCTGAATATAGGGCATTGGGCTCTGGGGAGAAAGCTCCCTTGGTGTGGGGCAGTGAGCTAGGGGTGGGCAGGGAGGGATGTTGGCTGGACTCACAGCTGCTCCTGCAGTTCCAGGATGATGCCCTCCAGCTCCCTCTTCTCCTGGTGGTTTTGCACCTTCACCTCCTCCAGCCTCATCTGCAGACGCTTGTTCTCTGCTTCTAGGTCCTTCAGCTGGGACTCCCTGAGACGCACCAGCTCTTCCAGGTACCCCTGGGTATAGGCAGAGCTCAGCCCTCCAGGGACTGGCTAATTCCACTCACTCTGTCTGGAAGGGCTTAGTGCCAGCAGGATGTGATGCCCCAAGATCCCTCACACTGGCTGCAGCAAGCTGCTCATGCCTGGATGCATGGCCTGGCCCAGCCATGCCAGGGAGCAGGCACACAGAGGACACATTCAGGAGCACCCCAGTAGGGGCATCCAAAGAAGAGGGTGAAGACCATGGCCTATATGGGACAAATCCTCTTGTTCCCCAGGGACTGGGGGCTGTACCCCCATGTGCCAGGCCTGGAAAGGCTGAAGCAGGGGAGAGGGAAGGGAACATGGGGCCAGCAGGGTGCCTGGTGCTGTTAGATGTAGTTTGGCTCACAGGGCAGCACAACCAGGAACCTAAGGGCTGCCGATGAGATGCTCAGCCTTGGAGGGTGGCAGGGCACAAGAAATACATGGCTGCCTGCCCCTCCACCATGGCCAGTTCTGCCCAGGCAGAAGTGCCACAGGAGGGCAGAGGAATGTATAGGATAGGGGTCCATATCTTCAGAGCTCTCGTTGCGGTGCAGGGGGTGAACACTGAGTATGTGGGCCTGAGTATTATGAAGGGGGAATTCACCCCAAAACTGCCCCCCTCAGCCCAGTGAGGCTCCCTGCCCAGCCCAGATGCCCAGGTACCTTCTGTGCATACACAATACGGAACTTCTGCTCCATCTTCCGCCACTTGTTGTACCAGCTGTCATCATCCGTGACCAGCGGCAGGTAGGGGTGGTCAGGAGAGCTCTCCTCGCTTGTGCTACTTTCCATGCTCCTGCGGTCCTCCTCATCGCTTAGGTAGTCGTAGCTACCAGAAGAAGAGGGACTCAGAGGGAGGAGATAGCACCTGCCTGAAATGGAGCCTGGGGAGCAGAGAGGCAAAGATACCCAGGACACAGTAGTGTGTCCCTGATTCATTGGGGTTGGGTACCACGGTGGGTAGCCGATCTGATCCCGGCAGGGCCAGAGACAGCCTGAGGCCCTGTTCTGCATTAAGACCTGTATAAACCAGGGCCCTGTCTGCTCTGCCTGTGTGTACAAGATCTTGAGTGCGCTTTCCAATCAGCCCTTCCAACCTGTCTCACGGCAGCAGTGGTTTTAATAAGTGGATGCCTCTGGTCTTGGAGTGCGCAGAGCTAGGCACTATATACGGAAGGTGTCAGCTCCCCCATCTTCCCTCTCAAGGGTCTGTCAGCTCTAGTAAACTAGGTAAACAGCCTAGTTTATTAGCCTGGTGCCTGAGGCCAGCGCAGACTGCAGCTAGGTTGTGGTAGGTGCTGTATAAACACACTGCAGCAAGCAGCCCCTGCACCAGGAGCTCACTTCATTGCTACCATTGTGTAGCTAAATGGTGTCTGGTTTGCATACCTTGTCTTCACTTAGTGCTTGCTGTAAGCTCCTGTTTCCATCTGCCCCTCAGTATCAGTCTCAAATGATATCTGCCTGAGATATACTAGCTCAGGTTTTTCTACTCTGCAGCCCTATCCTTGGGATTGTTTCACTGTCCTTGTCAGTATTTGCAACCCCTATGTCATGCTCAGCCCCTCCTCAACTTGTGGGCACATATGTGGCAACCGTGTAAGAACAGGTGCACAGAGCCTTTGGCCTGCCAGGCTAATGCAAGAGACATCATGCCTTTGTACCCCAAACTGGACTACAATACCCAGAATTCTCAGC